TTGATACGTGGCGTTGGAGTCCTGAAAATGGTGTTCTGGCGAGCTTCAGGATCTTCAAAGGGTTGTCTCCCAACGAGTTCCCCCAGTGCAAATGAACCCTTGTAGGGGCCTATGAAGAGGGAGCTTGGAGGGAGGGAAAATTCCAACATCGGTGATGAGTCTTGGATTTGCAGTGGTCGTCGTCCTCCTCCTCCTCCGCCTCCTCTTGCTCCTCCTCCTCTTCCTCCTCCTCCTCTTGCTCCTCCTCCTCCTCTTGCTCCTCCTCCTCTTGCTCCTCCTCCTCTTGCTCCTCCTCCTCCTCCTCGTCCTCCCCTCCTCCTTCTCCTCTTTCATTATTATCCTCCTCCTTCTCCCAAGCCCCTGTGGCTATGGGTGGGGGACCTCTCCCTCCGTCCCCCCACCTCGGCTTGAAGCCCCCTCCCCCCTGGGGGGCGGGGGCTGCGCCCCCTCGCTGAGGGGGGTACCGCGGTGCGGGGGGCGGATGCCATGCGCCTCGAGGGCCAGAGCCGAGCTGGGCAGGACCGGCCGGAGGCGCTCGGCTCGGCATCGGTGGCCGTCCAGGGGCTGCTGAGGCGCGATGGCCTGGACGTGGCCAGCCGCTTCCCGACGCTCGATGACCTTTGATTCGTCGAGCTCCCTGCAGCGCTCGGCCTGGACGTGGGGGACCGTGGGAATGATCGATTGGTGGAGGAAGTCCTCCAGTTGTTCCCGGTGGTGACTGCGGCGGCCGCTCCGACGCCGCCGCCGAGCCCCGTGGGCGAGAGGGCCGTTCATCGCCCAGGGCCTGGTGCGGCGGGCCCCCGGCTGCTGGCCGCGCAGGACGCGGGCGAGCAGCGGGGGCAGTGTGACCCGGGCAGCCTCCGGGTTGGCCGAGGCTCGCCGTTGCCAGAGAAGCTTCCTTATCCCCAGCATTCTTGATGGCGGGGGTATGATTTTAGCAAGGTGCATCGGCGCGCCTCAGGCTACGTCCACTCCTCCTCCTCCTCCTCCTCCTCCTCCTCCTCCTAATCCTCTCCTCCTCCTCCTCCTCCTCCTCCTCCTGCTCTTCATCCTCCCTCCTCCTCGAGAACGGGGAATTGTGGAGTCCCTGTGGTTCCAAAGCGCGCGCGCGAGGCTTTCGCGCTGAGTTCGTGACTGTTTCTGTGCAAACTCTGCTCTGTGTCGTCATCCTCCTCCTCCTCCTCCTCCTCCTCCTCCGCCTCCGCCTCCTCCTCCTCCTCCTCCTCCTCCTCTTCCTCCCTCTCCCCTCCTCCTACATCTCTGCCTTTTTGTTTTTCTCCTGGCGTCCCCCCCCCCAGGAAAAAAAACAAAAAAAACGTTTTTTTTTTTGTTTTTTTTTTTTCTGGGGGGGGGGACGCCAGGAGAAAAAAAAGGAATGCGACGTGGCCACATCTGCCCTCCCCCTAGAAGGATTCCTACTGAACGCCCCCATAAGAAGGATTCACAGTGAAATCCTCGACAGAAGGGTTCCTATCGAAACCCTCCACTGAATGATTCCTACTGAAATCCTCCACATGTGGATTCCTACTGAAACCCTCCACTGAATGATTCCAAGTGAAATCCTCGAATGGCAATGGCAATGGTAATGGTAATGGTAATGGTAATGGTAATGGTAACGGTAATGGTAATGACAGTGGTAATGGTAATGGTACTGGTAATGGTTACGGTAATGATAGTGGTAACGGGGTAGCGAGGCAATGGCAATGGCAATGGCAACGGTAATGGTAATGGTAATGGCAATGGCAGTGGCAATGGGAACGGCAATGACAATGGCAATGGTAATGGCCATGGCAATGGTAATGGTAAGGGTAAAGGTAAAGGTAGAGGTAAAGGTAATGGTAATGGTAATGGTAATGGCACTGGCAGTGGTAATGGGAACGGGAATGGGAATGGGAGTGGGAATGGGAACGGGAACGGGAATGGAAATGATAGTGGTAGTGGTAATGGTAATGGCACTGATAATGGTAATGGAAATGGTAATGGTATTGGGAATGGGAATGAGAATTGGAATTCTAATGGTAATGGCAGCGGTAATGGGAATGGGAATGGGAATGGAAATGGTACTGGCAATGGTAATGGTAGTGGCGAATGGCAATGGCAATGGCAATGGCAATGGTAATAGTAACAGTAATGGTAATGGTAATGACAGAGGTAATGGTAATGGTACTGGTAATGGTAACGGTAATGGTAATGGTAACGGGGTAGCGATTGGCAATGGCAATGACAATGACAATGGCAACGGTCATGGCAATGGCAATGGCAATGGGATTGGCAATGGCAATGGCCATGACAATGATAATGGCAATGGCAATGGCAACGGCAATGGTAAGTGTAATGGTAATGGCAATGGTAGTGGGAATGGGAACGGGAATGGGAATGTGAATGGGAATGGGAATGGGAACGGGAACGGGAATGGAAATGGTAGTGGTAGTGGTAACATGTGGTAACGGAAATGGGAATGATAAGGGTAAGGGTAAAGGTAAAGGTAGAGGCAAAGGTAATGGTAATGGTAATGGTAATGGTAATGGTAATGGAATTGATAATGGCAATGGTAATGTGAATGGGAATGGGAAGGGGAATGGGAATGTGAATGGGCATGGAAATGGGAATGGGAACGGGAATGGAAATGGCAGTGGTAGTGGTAACGGAGATGGGTAAGGGTAAGGGTAAGGGTAAAGGTAAAGGTAGAGGTAAAGGTAATGGTAATGGTAATGGCAATGGCAGTTGTAATGGTAATGGCAATGGGAATGGGAATGTGAGACGGAATGGTAATGGTACTGGCAATGGTAATGGTAGTGGCGAATGGCAATGGCAATGGCAATGGCAATGGTAATGGTAATGGTAATGGTAGTGGCGAATGGCAATGGTAATGATAGTGGCGAATGGCAATGACAATGGCAATGGTAATGGCAATGACAGTGGTAATGGTAATGGTGCTGGGCGTGGTAATGGTGACGGTAACGGTAATGGTAATGGTTATGGCAATTGTAACGGGGTAGCGATTGGCAATGGCAACGGCGATGGCAATGGTAATGGTAATGGCAATGGCAATGGCAATGGGCATGGCAACGGCAATGGCAATAGCAATGGCCATGGCAATGGTAATGGTCATGGTCATGGTCATGGTAATGGTAATGGTAATGGGGATGGGGATGGGGATGGGAATGGGAATGGGAATCGTAGTGGTAATTGGAACGGGAACGGGAATGGAAATGGTAGTGGTAGTGGTAATGATAATGGCAATGGTAATGGTAATCGAAATGGTATTGGTAACGGTAATGGTAATGGCAATGGTGATGGGAATGGGAATTGTAATGGTGATGGCAGCGGTAATGGTAATGGTAATGGTAATGGTAATGGTAATGGTAATGGTAATGGTAATATTAATGGCAATGGCAATGGCAATGGCAATGGTGTTGGTAATGCTAATGGTAATGGCAATGGTAATGGTAGTGGCTAATGGTAATGGGAATGGTAATGGTAATGGTAACGGACATGTAATGGTAACGGGGTGACGACTGGCAATGGCAATACAATGGCAATGGCAACGGCACTGGTAATGGCAATGGCAATGGGGATGGCAATGACAATGGCAATTGTAATGGCCATGGTAATGGTAATGGTAAAGATAAAGGTAAAGGTAAAGATAAGGTAAAGGTAATGGTAATGGTAATGTGAATGTGAATGGGAATGGGGATGAGAATGGTAGTGGTAATGGTATTGGGAATGGGAATGGGAATGGAATGGGAATGGGAGTGGGAGAGATTGAGAGAGAGAGAGAGAGAGAAGAGAGAGGAAATATCAGAATAATGATTAGGAGCAACGTGAAAGATCGCAACAAATCGTTTAAAACCCACAGGGGCTCTACAATCCCCCAGCCTCTCCTCCTCCTCCTCCTCCTCCTCCTCCTCCTCCATTCTTTTGCCTTACAAATAACTCCTCCTTGTCGCACCCCGAGGACGGTCGAAAGGGCGGGCCGGGCGTTTCGCCTGAGGCTTTATCACCGCTTATGCCCCTGAGGCTTAAACATTGGCAGCCGCTTCACAGATGGAGGTATGGTCGTTTTCAAAAGTGGGGCTCTCGCCTTAGCGAAACGCAATGTTGTTTCACAATAGTTGCAAGAGGTTCACAGATTGAGGGTGTGTGGTAGTCCAAATGTGGCCCTCGCCTTAGCGCCGCGCACAGTCATTCAACAAAATTGCAAGAGCTTCACGGATTGATGGCGGACCGTTTTCAAAATGTCGTTCTCGCCTTAGCGCTGCACACATTCGATTCAAACATTTGCAAGAGTTTCAAGGATTGAGGGCGGGTGGTTTTCAAAATGTGGCTCTCGCCTTAGCACCGTGCTTCACAAATGGCAAGAGCTTCACGGTTTGAGGGCGGGTGGTTTTCAACATGTGACTCTCGCATTTACGCCGCGCGCATTCGCTTTACAACATTTCAGGACTTTCACGGATTGAGGGCGGGCCATTTTCAAAATGTGAATCTCGCCTTAGCGTTGCTCGCATTCGTCATTAGCAAGATGGTCATTGATGACCGTGGTCAACGTGCCAGACATAATTTTGGAAGGATTGAGGATTGTGATGAGGTCGCAACAGTTGCGTTTGTTGACTCGCGGTGTTGAAGTCCCAGAAATTGTGTTCTGGCACGGTTCCGGATCGTCAAGACGCAACAGTTTGGCTGATACGTTGCGTTGGAGTCCCGAGAATGGTGTTTGGTCACGCTTCAGTGACTCCAGACGGCTGTCTCCCAACGAGGCAGTTCCCTCGGTGGAAATGAACCCTTGTAGGGGCCTATGAAGAGAGAGCTTGGAGGGAGGGGTTAGTCCAACGTCGTTGATGAGCCTTGGGTTTGCACTGGTCGTCCTCCGCCTCCTTTTGCTCCTCCTCTTCCTCCCCCTCCTCCTCTTGCTCCTCCTCCTCTTGCTCTTCCCCCTCCTCCTCTTTCATTATTCTCCTCCTCCGCCTTCTCCTCCTCAGCCCTTCGCATCCGCGCTCCAGGCATCAGTCCCGAGCGAGTTCCTTGGCGGCCTCTTCGATCGAATCGCGCTGCCCGTCCCGCTCTCCAGGGCGCAGCGCCGGGCGGTGCTGGCCGCGAGCTCGAGGCGCGCTCCTCCTCCTCCTCCTCCTCCTCCTGCTCTTTCTCCACGATGTCCTCCTACTGGTCACGTGCACTCCTCGTCGCACTCCTCCCTCCTACCTCCCCATCCTCATTCTCAGCCTCTTCTCCTGATCCCCCCCCTCGTGCAGCCGTTGCTGCTGCCTGGCCCGCTTCTTACTTCTACTGCTGCCCCTCTTCCTCCCCAATATTTTACTCCTCCCTGCTGCTCCTCCCCTCGTGCATCTCCTACTGTTGCTTCTCCTTCACCTCCTTCTCCTCCTCTTCTCTCTCCCCGCTCCTTCTGCTCCCCCTCCTCATCATCCTCCTCTCTTCCTCCTCCTTCTCCTTTTTTTCTTCCCTTCCCTCATTACCGTCTCTCTCCCCTCCAGGGAACTGCCGATCGCTGACAGGGAGGCGGTGCTGGACCGCGAGGCTGGGTGACCAAGGGCCAAGAGCTTGCCTACTGCCCACGCTGGGATTGCACGGAGACAGAAGGGAAGGGAGAGAGAGAGAGAGAGAGAGGGAGAAAGGGACATTAACAACATATCATGCTATATATATATATATATATATGTAAGACAAGGAAATCACGCGGGCGCTAAGGCTGCAAGCGCCCCGCGCGCCGGTGCCGTTTGTGCCAGAGCGCGGCTTCAAGAGACTGGAGCCCGAGACGCTCTTGGCGCGTGGCCGGCAGAGGGCGCGCGGCCCCACACGTTTCCGCCCAGCCCGAGTGGGTCGCCCTCGTCGTCACAGCCATCCAGGAGGGTCGCCGCCTCCTCTCCTCTCCCCTCCCCTCTCCTCCCTCCCCTCCCCTCCCCTCCCCTCCCTCCCCTCTCCTCTCCTCTCCTCTCCTCTCCTCTCCTCTCCTCTCCTCTCCTCCCCCTCCTCCTCTCTCTCTCTCTCTCTCTCTCTCCCATCCCAGGGGGGGCGAGCCCCCGCGGAGTCCAACGGTCATGCGTATTCTGGTTCTCGACGAAGTCCATGTGCGGTCCCACCGCCAGGCGCCCACGATGGATACGCCCAGCAGCGCGACCTCGCCAGCCAGCAGCCCCTCGGGCAGGGTCGCCAACCAGCTGCACGGGCCAACGCGGGCCCAGCGGGGCGGCGCAGGGGGTTTGTTTCATCCCCCGCCGCTTTCGCCACCACGCTGGGCCGACTGGGCGCGCACGCCATCACTGTCCGCAGAAGGGGACGCCACAGGCATGACCAGCGAGCCCTCCACGAACACTCACACGTCTGGACCTCCTCGGGCGGGTCGGCGTGCCTCCCAGGCGGAGCGAGGAGGGCCACAAGCTCCGCATCGTCGGGCCAGCATGCGGCAACTCCGCCACGAAGCGCGGGCTGCGCCATCAGCACGGCCTCTCCCAGCAGCTCCCACGTCCCGCACGGAAAGGCCCATCGGCCGCACTCCAGGGTCGCCGTCGGCTGGGCCACCAGGCCACGCTGCTGCATCAGCACGGCCAGCTGCGGGCAGCGGAGCGCCAGCACCTGGCCGAATGCCCTCTGGGGGAAGCCGAATTCTTTACGCTTCGCGTATCCCCACCAGCCCATCTCACAGCAGCAACTCTCGCGAAGCATGCCGACAGTCGTGTTTTTCAGGCGTGTGTCCGCTGGGCCCCGCATATCTCCCATGTTCCTCCTTCCTCCCGCCTCCTTGTACACCCTCCTTGTGGGGGGAGCGGGAGAAGGACGAGGCGAAGGAGGAGGGAGTGAAAGCGCTCCTCGTGGTTTGAGTCGTTTGGGGTTTCTCGTCCTGGTCTGAGTCGTTCGGGCCCTTCTTCCTGGTGTGAGTCGTTCGGGCTCTTCGTGGTGTGAGTCGTTCGGGCTCTTCGTCCTGGTGTGAGTCGTTCGGGCTTCTCGTGGTGTGAGTTGTTCGGGCCCGTCGTCCTGGTGTGAGTCGTTCGTGTCCCTCCTCCTGGTGTGACTCGTTCGGGCTCCTCGTGGTGTGAGTCGTTCGGGGCCCGCGTCGTGGTGTGAGTCCTTCGGGCTCCTCGTGGTGTGAGTTGTTCGGGCGCCTCGTCCTGATGTGAGTCGTTCGGGCCCCTCCTTGTGGTGTGAGTCGTTCGGCCTCTTCGTGGTGTGAGTCGTTCGGGCCCCTCGTCCTGATGTGAGTCGTTCGGGCTCCTCGTGGGGCACCTTGGGGGCCTCTTGGAGCCTCGTGTGGCCTCTTGGGGGCCTCTTGAGGGCCTCTTGGGAGCCTCGTGGGGGCTCTGGGGGCCTCGTGGGGGCCTCTTGGGGGCCTGTTGTGAGCCTCTGGGGGCCTCTTCGGTGGCATCTTTGGGGCCTCTTGGAGGCCTCTTGGGAGCCTCCTGGGAGCATCTTGGGGTCTCTTGGGGGCCTCTTGCGACCTCCTCAGAAGCGCAAATGCGCGCTACTCCCGGAGAAGGACAAAATGAGCCCAAAACCTTGGTAAAATCAATGATTTTGAGAACAAGGAAGAGGAGCGCTGCCCCCTCAGAAGGCCAAAATGGTGCCGAAACCGTAGTAAAATCAATGATTTGGCTTCACAGAAGAGGAGAGGGGTTGTTCGGCGTCCCCCCGTCGGGGACAGAATCCTCGTGAGGGGTGTCTTTTTTTTAGCCCTCCCAGGAGTCGAAATTGACCCCTCCTCGATGCGTGAGTCGTTCGGCGAGGGGCCCGAACGACTCACACAAGGAGAGGCCCGAACGACTCACACCAGGGCGAGGGGCCCCAACGACGCACACCACCTGCATTCTGATCCAAGACGTGCGCACTCTGAGTTCCGTGATTCTACCCTTGTCGAGCTGCAATCCTGTCGCCTTCTGTCTTGCCTCCCATCGCTTTCCCTCCCTCCTCCTCTTCCTCCTCTTCGACTCCTAGTCGTAGTAGTAGAAGTAGTACCAGTACAGTTGTAGTGCGTAGTAGTAGTAGTAGTAGTAGTAGTAGTAGTAGTAGTAGTAGTAGTAGTAGTAGTAGTAGTAGTAGTAGTAGTAGTAGTAGTAGTAGTAGTCGTAGTAGTAGTAGTAGTAGTAGTAGTAGTAGTAGTAGTAGTAGTAGTAGTAGTAGTAGTAGTAGTAGTAGTAGTAGTAGTAGTAGTAGTAGTAGTAGTAGTAGTAGTAGTAGTAGTAGTAGTAGTAGTAGTAGTAGCAGTAGTAGTAGTAGGTAGTAGTAGTAGTAGTTAGTAAGTAGTAGTAGTAGTAGTAGTAGTAGTAGTAGTAGTAGTAGTAAGTAGTAGTAGTGTAGTAGTAGTAGTAGTAGTAGTAGTAGTAGTAGTAGTAGTAGTAGTAGTAGTAGTAGTAGTAGTAAGTAGTAGTAGTAGTAAGTAGTAGTAGTAGTAGTAGTAGTAGTAGTAGTAGTAGTAGTAGTAGTAGTAGTAGTAGTAGTAGTAGTAGTAGTAGTAGTCGTAGTAGTAGTAGTAGTAGTAGTAGTAGTAGTAGTAGTAGTAGTAGTAGTGGTATTTCCAGTATCAGCGGTAGTAGCAAGCGTAGTCGTCCACGTCGTCGTCGCACTAGTTGCCTGAGTAATAGAGGCAGTCGCTGGAGCAGTGGTATATATGGAAGTTGTGGTAGTAGTAATAAGTAGTGATAGTGGTAGTAGTAGTAGTAGAAGAAGAAGAAGAAGTAGTTGTAGTCGTAGTAATAGTAGTAGTAGTAGCAGTAGTAGTAGTAGTAGTAGTAGTAGTAGTAGTGGTGGTAGTAGTTCTAGTACTCGTTTGACTCATAGTAGTACGAGTAGATCTGGTAGTAGTCGTAAGAGTAGTTGTAGTTGTAGTAGTACGAGATGATGTAGTCAAACGAGTAGTAGTAGTAGTAGTAGTAGTAGTAGTAGTAGTAGTAGTAGTAGTAGTAGTAGTAGTAGTAGTAGTAGTAGTAGTGCAAGTAGCAGTAATCGTAGGAGAAGAAGTAGTAGTAGATGTCTTTTGGAAGCCGCTCGCAGGCCTCTTGGGGCGTCTTCGGCGCCTCTGGGGGCCTCTTTGGGACCTCTTGAGGGTATATTGGGGGCCTCATGGAGGCCTCCTGGTGCCTCCTGGGGACCTCCTGTGGGCCATCTGGGTGCATTTTGGGGCCATCTGGTGGACCTCTGGGGGCCCTCTCGGGGGGCTTGTATGAGCGCTGCCCCTCCTCCTGGTGTGACTCGTTCGGGCTCCTCGTGGTGTGGGTCGTTGGAGGCCCGCGTCGTGGTGTGAGTCGTTCGGGCTCCTCGTGGTGTGAGTCGGTCGGGCGCCTCGTCCTGGTATGAGTCGTTCGGGCCCCTCCTTGTGGTGTGAGTCGTTCGGGCTCTTCGTGGTGTGAGTCGTTCGGGCCCCTCGTCCTGGTGTGAGTCGTTCGGGCTCCTCGTGGGGCCTCTTGGGGGCCTCTTGGGGGCCTCTTGGGGCCTCTTGGGGGCCTCTTGGGGAGCTCTTGGCGGCCTCTTGGGAGCCTCTTGGGGGCTCTGGGGGCCTCGTGGGGGCCTCTTGGGAGCCTGTTGAGAGCCTCTGGGGGCCTCTTGGGGGCCTCTTGGGGGCCTCTTGGGAGCCTCCTGGAGGCATCTTGGGGCCTCTTGGGGGGCCTCTTGCGACCTCCTCAGAAGCGCAACTGAGCGCTACCCCCTGAGAAAGACAAAATGAGCCCAAAACCTTCGTACAATCAATGAGTTTGAGAACAAGGAAGAGGAGCGCTGCCCCCTCAAAAGGCCAAAATGGGGCCGAAACCGTAGTAACATCAATGATTTTGGCTACACAGAAGAGGAAAGGTTTTTTTTTGGGCGTCCCCCCTCGGGGCCAGAATCCTCGTGAGGGTCGTCGTTTTTTTGGCCCTCCCAGGAGTCGAAAAAAGACCCCCTCAGAACACTCGGGACTCCCTGTCCAGGCCCAGGGGGAGGGGGTATGGGGAGCCAGTGCGCACCCCTGCGCGCCTCCAGGGCGCGAGCTCGGAGGCTGACGCGCATGACGCTGACGCGCGCTTGGTTGAACTCGTCGAAGACATTCTCAAAACGCACGGCGGTGAGTTCGATCCGTCGCGGATTTCCTGGGAGACGCTGCGTTGGCGCGACGAGCGCCCGTGGGACACATTCAATAAGCTTTTAATGTCTGGGGGGGCTGAAGGGCTTCCTCGACAAACGCTCCGAAAAATTCGCCTGGCGCGCGCGCGCAGGCAACAAAGGCATGCTCATCACATGGGCGAACTGGGCGGCGCAGGAGGGGCGCGCCCCGCCACCATGGGGGCGCCCCGCCGCGGGCGAAGTCGCACTGCCTCTGGCGTGCCCCGCAATAGCGGCAGCGCCCCAACAGGGAGTGGCCTCAGGAAGCGGCCTGAAGCGGCCTGAGGGTGCCCCGCCAACTCACCGCCCTCAGGAAGCGGCCTCAGGAAGCGGCCAAAATGCACTGCCTCTGGCGTCGCCCGACAATTCACCGCCCTCAGGACGCGGCCAGGATCAGAGCAACCCTTGGGGGGACCTTGCCTAGGCCTCTGGCGTGGCCGAGGCACTGCCTCTGGCGTGCCGCTGCCTCTGGCGCGTCTTCTGAGGCCAACGCGGCGTCGCGGCAG